AATTAAATTTGAACAGCAAACTTTATTTTTTGTATTTATATATAGACATTTGCGGGGTATCTCTAAGTTAAGATCTCGAGCCAGATATTTGACATTAGTAAAAATCTCGATGTTAACATGGTTCTAGATGATTGATGTGGGGTTTCTGTCAGAACATGTTGTAGCTGGCGTTTACCATATCATAATGAGGGCATTTCAAGCGTTCAACTGAGCTGTTGATATGAAGCACATGACTCAAGCGATTTGATATTTGGTATCATTGGCATTTCGCTTTCGAAATTGCAAATCACCTTCTGCGCCTTCCACTATTTGCACTGTCAAATGCTGGTGATGAATTCTTATTAGTTAATCACCAGCCGTTGCTCTGCTATTCCGCACCACTGGCGCACACCTACATCCGAATCTGATAAGCAGAGCCTCCCGTACTCCCGCCCATTCATACAACTGACAATATTTTGTTTGCTTAACTCCTTGAGCAGACTTTCAGGCCACAAGACAACGCTCAAAACTGTCAGACGCGTGGCATTCCTGCTCCCTGGCGCCAAGTTCTACTACGCTGGGTAAACGCGATCAACAATTTTTTTATCAACCCTCCCGATAAAGAAACTTCAATGCATTCAGCGTAGATTTTTCAATGTTGTATTTATTAAACATGGTTAAATAGAGTATGGTAAAGCCGATCAAATTTAATAGACCTTTGGAGTAGAGATTTAACATTCAAAATCTCTGTTATTTAATAATCGCTTACTTCTACGATTCGTCTGAATTCAAAAAGTATCGATTTTCAGCCACTTTTAACAAAATGATTTTATCATTTCGCTGGCAGAGGAAATAAAGATGTTAGCACATGTAAATAATAAGCATTTTATTACGATTGAATTACAAAAAAATACAATAACAAGTAAGAGGTTCTAGTCGGGAGCTCCCGACTAGGGGATACCCTGAACCCTCTTCTTCCAACACCAAATGCAGCTCGCGCGACGCGCTCATTTGATTTAGTAGTAATAAAGATATATGAAAATAAAAAAAAAAAATTGTTGCCTTGGCAGGGTTCGAACTCGCAACTAACCGCACCACTTACCGCTGCCTCTACTAAAGGGCCATATCAATAATTGAGTTTTATTGAGAAAAAACCAATTAAAATAGCAATTGCAATGCTGTTGATAGAATTCAAAGAAGTCGCGCATGAATGAGTGTTTGTGTACATGTATACAGAAATTCTTGGAATTTGCGCAGCAGCTATGCTGCTAACACGTGCGCACATAACTTTTGTGTTTCTTAACCGATCTTAATGAAATTTTCGACGGTACATCTTATTGTAGAATAGAATAAAGAATATTTTTGTATTCTCAAAAATTCAATTGCATATAAATTGTGGCTTAAATTGATGGGCAAAACAAGTTGGATAATTAACTTGACTTATAGCTTTTCGGTGGTAGCGGGGAGGTGGCGATAGCGATAAAATGAAAGATACTTAATATATATATATAACTATAAGCTACATGTCAAGTTTGGTGACTCTAGCTCATGTTATTTGCCGAAATTGCTCAAAAAACAAGATTTCGATATCGATTTTTATCGATTACTTGGAAACGGGGCAAGCTATCGAATATCGGAAACAAGCTCGATCTGCGCGGGCATTAGGAGGACCTACAGCTAAACTTTCAAGTCTCTAGCTCTTATAGGTTCTGATATCCTTGCGTTAATACATACGGACAGACGGACGGACGGACGGACAGACGGACAGACAGACAGACGGACATGGCTAGATCGACTCGGCTATTAATGCTGATCAAGAATATATATACTTTATAGGGTCGGAGATGCTTCCTTCTGCCTGTTACATACATTTGCACAAATACAATATACCCTGTTTACCCATTTTTAATGGGTTCCGATAGTCGATAACTTGTCCCGTTTCTAAGTAATCGATAAAAATCGATATGGAAATCCTGTCTTTTGAGCAATTTCGGCAAATATTATGAGCTAGAGTCACCAAACTTGACATGTAGCTTCTAGAATAGTATATATATATCAAGTATCTTTCATTTTATAGCTAAGAAAGAAAATGTGTTTTGGCACTCTTACTTGTTTTGTTGTATTTGGGCTATTATTCAAAAGGATTATAGTTCATTTGGACGCTTTTGATATTGATTAAATTGTTTTTTTCAAAATATATCAAATTACAACATTTTTTAAGCAACTTCGTAATTTTACAAATTTGATGTTCATTCATGGCCAATGATAGAGAACAAGAAATCATGAGTTTTCAGTGGGCTCTGATAAGATTAAAAATCAACGTTGAAAAATAAAACATAGCGTCAATGCATCACGATCTTATTGGCTTATTCTCGATACGGTTGACAAGGTTAACATCTCAATATGGAAAGGTTGTTATGAGCTTTAAATAATTTCCAAAATCCGCTGACGAAGTTTTTTCTGAAATACTGAATTTCCACCGAAAATATTCCGTTCATTGCGGCCTTATCAATAGGTTTAGTAAATGTACACAATTCCGCTGAAATTTGTGTAAACAATTGAACCTTTTTATACCCTTGCATAAAGCGAAAGAGAGTATATTCGTTTGATATTACAATTTTATTTTACCAGAAGGGAAAGATGAAAATCTATTTTATATAATTTTTCAGTCAGGTACATCTCCTCGATATTACAGACTAATAAGAGTCACTAATAATGAAGCCTCTTTGCATCAGTCTAACTACAAACAGAGTATGGCGCAGTTCGTTGCACCCGAGTGCAATGTACTCTTGTACACTTGTTTATCACTGTAGGTGAGTTCAGCAGCAAATAACGTTGTACACGTTTTACCATAACATTTCCACCATGATTCATTGTATTTAATTAATGAGGGACCATAAAACATAATACGTCAGTCAATCGGAACATATGTGTACAAACATTTGATAACCAGAATGAGGGGTTTTACGGACCGTCGTAAATGATAATTAAAGTAGCCAAGTAGCTCGCTGTATTGGGTGCTAATATATGTGTGATCTCGGTTGGGATTTTAATTATTCTTCTCAAGAAATATATACTACTAGCGGGTATAACCCGGCCTTGCCCGTGGAACGTATGTTAAAAATCAGCGTTCTCAAAATGCTTTGAAACTTATCGGACGGTAAACAAACACTTTTCATAGAAACGTTATCCGCCAATTTACCAATGTTGCGAGTGGAATTTCCCAAATCGCTGAAACACGTATTCATTATATTCTTATGTAGAGCTTTTGAAAATAACTTTGAAGCAAATCGGACACAACTTAAAACTTCGCATAAAAAATCTTTGAGTCGCATTCCACCCGAAAAAGTTTGGATTCTGCGAAAAGTGTGAAACACGTCTCAAATGATTTTTCTTATAGATCTTTGGAAACGAATTTGAACACAAAACGTCATCCACCAAATTCTTTGATCTCCATTTCCACCAAGGAGGAATGGATTTTCCTAAAAGTGTAAAACACCCCTCAAATGAATTTGAACAAAGATCTTTGTAAATAAGTTTGAGGCCGATCGGATCGTAAACAAAAAACTTTTATACAACCGTTTTCCGCGATTTTTCCACACTTGCGGGTGGAATTTCCGGAAACCCCGTCTTAACGTGCACCTACATCACATAAGGTAACTACAGTGAAAATTTCAGCTTCCTATCTGTTACGGTTTGGGCTGTGCGTTGATCACCAATCAGTCAGTCAGTCAGTAAGTCAGTCAGGAAAAAACAGTTTTATATATAGAGATTTAAATAAAATAAATTTTGTATACGTGTGGGAAATTGGTGGAAACGTAATGAAAACAAAATACTTGTTCCTTCCAAAGCCGTTATAACAGTAAGCCTCTCTGCTGCTGATCTCACAGACACTTCTTCGCATTAGGTTATTCCAAACGATTGTAAAATTTTTATGACAACACCCAATGAGAAATTGAAATATATATCATTGTGGAGTCTTTGATTTTTTATTGCACGGGATTGTGTGTGCTCTATGGTAGTGCAATGAAAGTATGGAATAATTAATTTTAAAGTACAATTACAGCTTTTATTGCAGCACCGCTACAAACAACGATACAACAGGCCTTGTCATAAAGATAATGGAACCCACTGACTCGAGCAATAAGGGAGCCGACAGATCATTAAAATAAATAAGCAAACAGAATCAAATGCCTTGCAAGTAAACTAGACACGGATTTTAACAGAACGGGATTAAAATTACTTAGGATATACCATTGTTCTCCGTAGCACAATTCCTGGTAGATTTTGTAAATACAATCTCTTCAACAAATTATAAAAAGTTATGGTTTTTCTATTCAGTTTTGTTTTCTTTTTAAAAGTTTGTGTATCTCTATATTTAAAACTATTTGACTGATTGGTTTTAACGCGCAGCCCATACTGTAAGAGCTCGGGAGCTGCAATTTTCACTGTAGTTACCTTGTGTGACGAAGGTGCTTAAGATAAATTCCACCCGCAATCCGATCGGCCTCAAACTAAGTTTCAAAGATCTCCGTTTAAATTAATTTGAGGCAAGTTTCACACTCTTGTGGGTCAAAGATTTAGTGGGTGACGTTTCGCTATAAATTCAACTTCAAAATCAATTTCAAATGATTGGGTGATTGACTGACTGTTGACGGTTTACTTGTCTGAAAGAACAGCTGACTGACTGAACTGCTGACGGAATGTGATATACTCAAGTGCCTACTAAAAAGGTGCCATTGGCCAAGGGGAATTGGTGAATTCCACCAGTAAGTGTGGGAAATTGGTGCTCAGATATTGTAGAAAATGTACACACAATTCAATGCCGCTCGACCGCATGTTTATTTTCAAAGTCGTGTGATTCAAAATGACATGAATGAAAAGTAAAACCGAAAACTTGAAGAAAAAACTTGGTTCGGGAAAAGTTGAGTAATATCCGCTATATATATATATAATAATATAAAAATGCTATTTAAGATGAAGAACTTTGATCGAAAACCTCTTTAATTATTTATTTTCAGCGGCAACATGCTGCAAAATCTATCAACGTTTATATTTTGCGAGCAATCAATGCAACTTAATTGATTGATAAATTGCGCTCACAAAGCAAGTCATAGGAGGAAGAGGAAAAGCAAAGGCAGGCTGTGAACAAGAGGCTGAAGGAAAACGCTGGCGCCAATGCAAATGAGCCCAGTGTGCGCCCAGAGGAAAACGCAGCTACAAAATGCAGGCGTGAAAATTTGCAAATCATTTGAAATTATTAGAAATCTTGGAGCCTGGCAACAGCAACAGCCAGGTGTAAAGAATGCGAGTATGGGGCAGCTGCTGTTGTTGCTGCTGTTGTGCCTGCAGAGTCTGGGCAGCTGCCAGGCCAGGTGCCGGGACGAGCCGCCGCGCGATTGTGAGGCCATCTGCGATAAGGCTGGTGGCAACTGTTCCATACGGGCCCTTGTGCTGCTCCCAAATGACGATGGGTACGAGGCGTCGCTGCAGCGCGTGCTGCCCATTCTGAAGGTGGCAGAGCAGCAGATCCGTGCCACATCGCTGATACCATCGTACATTGACCTGGAGTGGCTTGCCCACGACACCAAGTGCGATGCCTCGCTGGGCGTCATCCGGGCCATGGATGGCATCATCAAGCAGTGTGCGCAGATCATTTTTGGACCTGTCTGCGACTATTCGCTGGGTAAGCTACGGTGAAGCACACGTCCACCACGCAACTCCACTAAATGCAACAACTTTCAGCTGCTGTAAGTCGCATTACCAAGTATTTCAATAGCCAGGGCACGCCCCTCATCACCGTGGGCGGTTCCACATACGACTTTGAGCAGAAGAAAACCGATTGTGGCGATGAGTTTTATATGCTACTGCGCACAGGAATGCTCAGCTTTGAGTCCTTATCCGAATTGACCATAAATGTGATGAAGCAGTAAGTCGGCAATTGTATTTTTTATGCATTTCCCAATCAATGTTAGGTCCGTTTACCGTCCAGGCACAACTGGTCACATTCTATTTTCTACTATGAACGCGATGGTCAGCGCAATGTGGCAGGCTTGCACACCTGTTTTCTTATGATGAAATCCCTCGGCAAACAGATGCGCAACGAAAACATGACCTTTGCCCAATATCCGCTTGAGCCAAATATCACGAACCGGTCGGAGGAAATGCGCCGCGAAATTGGCAATAAACATTCAAGTAAGTAAAGCGTATGCAATGTAAGACTAACTAATACAAATATATAAGACCTTATATATTTAACAAATAACAATATGCTATACTTCTAAAAATAATAATAATAAACAAGATATAATTTCTCTGTGAATTAATATGCGTTAACAGCCAGCAAAGCTGCTAACCTAACCGCTAACAGCGGAAACTAACGCGCTCTGTTAATAACATTTTCAACAATACATAGCGATAAGCAATGACCACAACCAAATGTGCTTTCAAACGCTTCTATTGTTAACATGCGTAAAAGCAATAATAATAATTCAAGAAAATACGAAAGCTACATTTTGCAAGTTACAAGAAGTTGTTATTTAGAACACAAATCCCTAAAATGATTTTGAGTTAAAAAATTATGCAACTGTTGCATTCTATAAGTGATTTGTTTACACAAGAGTCTTACGCACAGCATCATCAATTTAATCATTTAAAAAATTAAAAAATTAATTCAGACTGTGCCTGTACTTATAATTGGCCTGTGTATTCAAAATCTTTTCATAACTTGTTTTTTAATATTGATAAAAATACGTAGTAGGTTCATAAGAAAATAACTTAATCGATTCCTTACTAATTCTTATAAAATATTTATTTATCAAAATGTAAGAATATTCAATGAAAATATATATGATTAGACCTCAGCAAATTTAAAAACCTTAATATATTTTTGTTAATGCTAATAATACTATACTTTTAAAATTGGCAGTATAGTTTTGAGTTAAATTCTTGGAGTAAGCTCTGTTTGAACCATAAACAAAGGCCACCCAATTTTAATCCTCAAAAAGCTTTAACAGCGCCTTATGCATCGTCCGTGCTTTTTCGAAGAGAGATATCAAACAGCTGTTTACACACACCAATGCAACTGGCAAAAAAGCCGGCTGTAAACTCAGAAACAATTTCGATATCGAAAAGCAACCGTAATTTGGTTGCTTGCTGCTGCAGCCGCCAGAAGTCGGCGTCAAATTGTAAAGTGCGGACCACAAATCTAATCGGGCGAAAGGGGTTTTAAATTAGAAAAAAAGTCAACTTGACGACAATTAAATTGGTGAAGCTGAAAAGTGAAAGTGACATGAAAATCTATAAAATAAAGAATTTATATACATACAGAAAAGGAAAATATCATAAGACAATTGAATAAAGGTTCTTAACTGGAATTTTTCAAATTAAACGCTGACAGCCACGAGCTACGCTCTGATAAATGTTCTATCACAAAAAAGAGATTCAAATGGGTGACTGTTTTTTTTTTTTGTTTGGATTGTTAGCCTGTTTGTCATACTCTTGTGCTGGCATCCTTTGTCGCTATTAAATGCACTACGTATGGAAACGTGAAACGCATTCTTCGCATTTTCCATTTCCTGTTTACCTGTCAGCCACACGCACCATTTTTCTGAAAAGTGCTTGAAGCATTTCTGAACTTTGGGGAGATCTGCAATCCCCTCAGGGTATTCATTGTTAAAAATTGAATGTCGCCTATGAAGTACGTAAAACATTTTGTTTCTTAAGTAACTGCAGAGTTCATTTGAGTTATAAAAATGTAGCCTTTTTTTTGAGTGCATCTTAAATGTGAAACAATTCCTATGCAAAACTGTATCCGCTAAAACTAGTAAACTAATAACGCAAGTTTCTTAAATCAAATGAAAATTTGTTTTAGCCTGCTGACTTATTCAAACGAAATATAAGTCTTGAAAACAAGTTTTCTTATATAAAAGCTTATTTTCTGACCGCTTCTTTCTATAGTGACAAGAATATTCCGATGCTGATCAGATTTTTCCAATAGTTAAGGACCATAGGCTTAAGACGTAAATGTCGCATTTAGTCAACATTACTTGAAAACCCCAAAGCTTTTTCAAACAAGACAAAATCTTTAATTTTGTAACTTACTAATACACGACTTTATTTCCTTTTATCGCACTTTGCTGTTAGTAGCACATTACGATGTTTTGAACAACAACCTGTTTATTTTAGTTGTGATTTCTACATAACATTTTTGTTTGTTTTCCTTAGTTTTACTAAACCTAAATATAAATTGCGCTTTGTGACTTAAGAGTTGATTAAAAATACATTGTTCTTTCATAACAAGCTGAAACCTTTTTTGATTGACTTTTACCGTTAAGCCCCTCTTACAAACTGCAAAATGTTTGGCCCCTTCGAGGTTGCCCACAGGAGCAAAAGTGCATTCGGTCACCTACTCAGAACAGAAACAAGCACAAAACTGTTGAAAACATGTGCAAACAGAACCCAGTAAGGCATAAGTTTTATTACACAATTATTTATAAGCGACGTTTGAATCAATGAGTTTGTGGATTGGGGCTAGAAGGGATGTCAAGTATATATAAATAAGAACATTGTTTCGGCTGCAAAGAATTCGCGAATACAAATAATAATGCCGAAATATATATACATCTATTGGGCAAATCTTTATAAAGGAAATGACAGCTATAAATAGACAATGTAATGAGTTAGTTCAGTGAAAACAATTGCCCTTTGTACCTATTCCCAACCAGCTTCTGGCCTAAAAACCGCCTCGATACCATTAGCTTAGCTGCAAGCACCAAATAATTTGCAAACTCATTTCAATTTCATAGAGCCAAGGAGACAAAAGCTGTTAAATGCAAATACCCAGAATGTTTTTTTGGTTCATGTTGTCAAGTTAAAATTTCAATTAAACTATTTTCTTTCACATAAAATCAACTAGTTAACTTGCGAAACAGAAGCTAAAAACACTTTCAAATGAAAATGTACATAGTACTTTTCTCTCATTCAATGCACATTTGTTAAACTTCAAAATAATTTAATTTATATTTACATTCTTGCCGTCGAATGGCGAATCAGACACAGCGTAGTTGTTTTTATCTCCCTTTTTATATCTTTTATCTTTCGTACACAATAATGTTATGGAGCGTGTTAATGTTAAGGCTTCTGTTAAAGTGTGTGAATGACAATATTACATGGAACTGAGTGAGTGAGTGAACTGAGTATGACTCTATATCTATGTTGCTATGAGTGTCTATCCTGCTATAAGCCTTGCACTTTAGTATACATACACATTTTTTTGCCTTTTTTTAACCCAGAATATTTCATAGAGTTTGGACTATAAGCACCGAGGTTCATATAGAAAGAAGAAGCACAACTGCTGCCTTCCTGTGTATATGTATGTGCATGTATAAAGGGAAGCTGTAATTATGGTAACGGTTGAGGAGTATATTGTAGTCAAAATCTCCCGATAAGATCTTGATATAGTATAATATTTTCTGCACCTCCTTGCTTACTCGCACGCACACACCTAATTAACACAGAGGATATGCTCGAGCTTTGTAGCGCTTCGCCATATATTAAATGCTATAAAATAACGGCTATATAAATAACGCGGTACTTATCTATGCCAGTTTCTGCACTGTTGTAATGTGTAAATTTTGCATGAAACTTTGGTCTTTCACTTGGCCTACACACCAAGCGCCTGAAAGTATGCAATAACAATACGGAAAACATAATTTATTAGTTTGTATCTGCATTTGTCATTCAGATTCAATAAAATAAGCCAAAACTTATCAGCTGCAGCATTTTTCAGCACACAATAAAACAAGCATTATATTGAAGTATGTCACAAAACACAGCGGTTTCAGCTGCAACAAATTGCATTTCTGATTCAAATTTGTCCCCTCCTTATTTTCCACAGAGCAATTTAAAACGAAGCGACAGTTTTGTCGATTACTTTTCAGCAAATGTTGACGCCAAATTTGCGTGATAATTTTCGCGTGTAACACAGCTGTGTTTTTATACTCTGCAGATTTGAAATGCGTTAAAATAAAAGGCGTATGCCACTGTATTAAACAGTGCACTTTGTACCTATTCCCAACCAGCTTCTGGCCTAACAATCCCCTCGATACCATTACCTTAGCTGCAAGCACCAAATACTTTGCAAACTCATTTCAATTTCACATAGCTAAGGAGACCAAAGCTGTTAAATGCAAATATCCAGGATGTTTTTTGCTTCATGTTGTCAACTTAAAAGGATATCTAAAACCAGCTCCCAATTCGTGAAATCTTTCTAGATGTAAAGTGAGCACAAAGGAGGAACTTTCAATTGCATTTAATTAAAGCTGAGTACACATCCATTGGGTTATGAAGCTTACAAATCTTGCTGCGTTCTAACCGGCGCATACCAAAATTGTTTGGTTCAAAATTGTATTTACTTAACTATAGAAGATGCCAACATTGAATATAGGTCAAGTTTATACAAAATATAAAAATACTAGCGGGTATAACCCGGCCTTGCCCGTGGCACGTATTTTATAAAATCAATGTTTTCAAAAAGCTTTGAAAATGATTTTAAAACTGATCGGACGGGAATCAAACAACTTTTATGCAAATCGGAAAAAACTTAAAATTCACAAAAAAAATCTTTGAAATGCATTTTCCACCGAAGGAGTTTAGATTTTGCGAAAAATAATAAATACGTCTCAAATGATTTTTCTTATAGATCTTTGGAAATAAATTTGAACATAAAACGTCATCCACCAAATCTTCGACCCCCATTTGCACCAAGGAGGGATATATTTTTTCAAAAAGCGTGAAACACCCCTTAAATGAATTTGAACATAGATCTTTAAAAATGAGTTGGGGGCCGATCGGATGGTAAACAAAAAACTTTCATACAAACGATTACCGCCAATTTACCACTGTTGCGGGTGGAATTTCCCTAAACCCCGTCTTAACGTGCACCTACATCACATAAGGCAACTACAGTGCAAATTTCAGCTTCCTAGCTCTTACGGTTTGGGCTGTGCGTTGATCACTAATCAGTCAGTCAGTCGGTCAGTCAGTCAGTCAGTCAGTCAGTCAGTCAGTCAGTCAGTCAGGACAAATAGTTTTATATATAGAGATGTATGATATGCAAAATTTGTAGTACAACGGCTAATTGTAAATTAAATTGAACCTAAAGTCAGAAACAGATATATATATATATATATAAAGATATAGA